TTTTGAAAGATAGTTTTGCAGGGTACATCAATCTGGGTTGGAGGCTGTTTTCCTTTAGGGCTTAGAATACATCACTCCAAGCTCTTCTTGCCTTGGAGGTTTGCGTTGAGATGTCTGCTGTGATTCTGATGCACTTTCCTTTGTATGTGATTTGTTTCTTTTCTCTAAGTGCTCATAGAATTTTGTTCTTGTGCCGGGTTTCTGGAATCTTAAATATTATGTGCCTATGTGTAGATTTTTTGTTGTTGTTTTGTTTTTTTGGTACCAGGGATTGAACTTGGGTCCTTGCACTTGCAAGGCAGGCAGTAGAACCACTGAGCTAAATCCCCAGCCCTAGATTTTTTTCTTGATCAAGCCTAGTTGGAGTCCTATATGCCTCACTTATCTGTATGTCAAGTTCTTTTCTCCTGCTTGAGAATTTTTCTGCCATCACTTCTGTGAACAGTTTTTTAATGTTATCTGCATTCTCTCCTGTTTCTTCATTGACTCCTATCAGTCTTATGTTAACCTTCTTTGCATCATCTAGCAGGTGCTGGATTGAAGTCTCATGGTCCCTTACTATTTTAAAGAAATTTTTCTTTTCCTGGTTACTAATTACAATCTTATCTTCTATATCTGAAATTGTGTCCTCATATTGGCTCATTCTGCTGCATAAACTTGCAATGGAGTTTTTAATCTCCTGGATATCTGTTTGCATCTGTTTTATAGATTCCATTTGTTCCCTATGTTGGGATTCCATCGTGTTCCTCAGCTCCTCTATTTTTTTATCTGTGTGTTCTCTAGACTTATTATTCATGTCTTGCACTATGGGCACAATCTCTGCTGTTATCTCAGGAATTATTTCTGATTTCATTTTTTCCAGATCCTCTTTTGTTGCCAGTTCAGGGAGTCCAGGTTGTTGAGTATCAGATTTTTCCACCTCATTTCCCTTTGGGGTTGCTTTAGGTGATCTGGAAGTCTGGTTTTGAGAGTTGTTTACATGTCTTCTCATTTCAATAGGGGTGGGGGAATGTGTGCTCCTGGGGCCCACATGGCTCACCTGCTCAGCACTGGGGGCAGTGGTAAGGCGGCCCAGAAGGTTCACCTCCTCTGTGCTAGGGGCAGCTCTGCTCCTCAGCACTGGGGGCAGTGGTATGGCTGCCACTTGTATATTAATATTAATCAAGCACCCATCATGTTGTGGCAACATGTGGCACTGTGTCGTGTGCTGGGGTTTCCAAAGCAATGAAAACACAGGACACTCCCTGTGCTTACCTCTGGCATAGCACTTATCCTACTGCAAGAGCCTGTTCTCATAAATGTCTTGCCTTTTAGGCACACCATTGACATTCAGTGACTATTTATTAAATAACAAGTATTCTATGTTATGTTGTGGAGCACTTAAACATTTTCAGATATTATCTTAATGTAATTGCTACAACAGCCTTATAACAGAGTGGTAGAATAAAAAGATTGCTAAAAATTCTTTTTGACACTTATCCCATTGACAAGTGGGTCTGATTCTACTGCCCTTGAAGCTGGCTTGCCCATGCCTGCTTCAACCAGTGCAATGTGGTCGAAGTGATGCTATGCTAGTTCCAGGATGAATCTTCAGGTGGATCAAAAACATGTTTCTGTGCCTTGAAACCCTGAGTCACTGAGAATGAAGCACAACTGTCCTGCTAGGAAGATCATCATGTGGAGAGGCCCTAAGTCTATAGATGTCAGGCATGTGAATGAGGCCATCTGGCATTTCTTGGACTATTCTAGTTGCCTGCTAAAGACCATGGACTAAATCTGGCAATACCACATGGAGCAGAAGAGGAACCAGCTGAGCTCTTCCTGAACTCCTGGGTCACTGTGAAGGCTAATCACCTGGATGTCTTCTAAGCCACTACACTTTGGAGAAGTTTGTTATGCCTTTCTCAGCTATAGGCCATCCTTAGGTATATAGAACTTTGGAACAAGTAGGGCTTGGCTAGACCAAGAAGTGGAAGAGTCTTGCAGAGGTGTGCAAGAGTGTGTGCAGCAGCACAGGGACAGAGAAGGCCTTGAGGATTGGAGGAAATACAGATAAATACTTGTTTATACATACATTGAATATTAAACTACATATCACTAATATATAGTTATATAACTATTATGTTATATAAACCAACATATGTATAAAATTATGTATGTGAGTATATACCTACATGTTAACAATATTTACTTTTCGGTGGTAGATATAAGTGACTTGATTTTCTTGTGTATTTCATTTGTTGACTGGTCCACAATGAATAAATATTACTTGAGAGATAAAATATGAAGAAAAATAAAACCAAGTTCCATGATATTTGAGCAATAGATATAGGAGGATGGAGTATCAGAAAGGCAGGTGAGCACCAGATCGATGGGGCAGGAGAAATAAGACACAGCCACCTTTGCATGACAGTAAGGGCGTGGTGCATGGCAAACTATTAGGAAAATCACCCTGGTCTTCTACCTCTCTTACCCTAGAAAAACCTGGTGACACAAAGTAGGAAGCCCTACTTTGCTCCTAAGTGAGAAAAATGAACATGAAAGCAGAGGGAGGGGCAGCTGTGGTTCATGCAGAGAATCAGAACCATTGATTAGTTACTGGCTACTTCAGGCCATGTGCCACTCAATAACCACACTGGAAATAATGGAGACCTGATTAGCTACCCTGGGCAGGATGACAGACAATTACCCCACTCTGTAACTGATGAGAACAAAGGAGGCACATAGGGAAAAGTTGCACATGATTTTAAAGGATGTCAACAGAAACAGTATTAATTAAGAGACTGGGATAGGCATTAGTTGGGCCCCATCTCTGAGAAATGTGCTTTTGGAAAAAAAGGTACAGAAGGATGTTGAATCTTCTCTCATTGGACTCTTCAAGCTCAGTGTCCAACATGTTTATTTCACTTCCTCAAGTGTGGTGTGACTTTTGCACTCATCACAGATAAAGCAAAGAGTTGAGGAAAATAAAATGTAAGTTTGCCCCTACTTTAAGAAATAGGGTATAAGATGAAAAGTTTCTACCATGCTAGTCTCGGACAGTTCACCCTCAGGGTAAAGAACAGAGAGAGACAAGAACAAAAGGACTATGGGTAAATCTAATCCTCCTCTTTGTAACTTTTTGTATTTTTTTTCTAGTTAATTGTATGGTGTTTATAATCATAAAAAATTCCATTTTGGAAAAATAGAAGAGTGGCTAAAGAGAGGGAAGGAAATGGCTGAAGCCCTGAGCTGGGCTAGCATGGGTGGAAGAGGGATGTCTAAAGAAGGTGGCTGTGGTAGCAGTAAACAGTATTGGACAGGAAATCAGGCAATCTGAGTTCAGATCTGAGTAGTTCATCACTGCCAATGTGTCTCTGAGGTAGTGCTGGACTCCCCTGACTCTCAGCTCCCAAAACTCCTGAAGAGGATCATCATAACAAGACCCGTCTCACAAAGGTGTCATACAAACGGCTGCCCTAGCAGCCAACGCTGACAGATGTACCTTAGGGATTATCAGGGCTTTGGGTATAAACGGGATGGTGGGTGGCTGCAGTAGCATTTACTGAGCACCTATCCCAGGCCAGGTAGGCCTGATGTTAGGTATAGCCAGACAAAATCATGAGAGTCCTAATCATACCTGGACTGAGAGCCTGGTTGGGCACACACCTGCGTGTGCTTCCTTTGCACACAATAGCTCTCATCTACCTTTACAAGAGCTCAGCATCATCACTATTGTGTAGACAAGGGCAGTGAGGCACAGAGAGGTCCAGTAACTTGACCAAGGCCATACCTTTAGCAAGCTGCAGGCTATCCCTGGACCTCAGGTCTGGTGGATCCCATAGCCCATGCTCCTTCTGCCCCGTTCCACCATCCTTTTCTCAGGTGCTCAGGGAATCACACCCCAAGGCTGTGCAGGTAGGAGGCAGGGACACAGATATCCCAACAGGTTTCCTAAAGACCTGGATCTCACCTTGGCTCCCCCAGCCTCCCATGCCCAGCCACCTGCCCCCTGTGTGCACCTGGTCTCCAGCGGGATGTTACTGTTGAGCAGCCAGTTGTCCTGGGCATGCGTAGGCTCCTGGGCGCTGCCGACAGGGGGCTCTCCAGAGAGTGAATGGTCTGTTGGGGCCGGGCTGGGGTTGCTCCGCGGAGTGAAGTTGCCCCGGTTCAGGGAGTTGACGGAGGCCCCGTGGTGCTGGTTGGGGGTGTGGGCGTGGGAAAGCGGGGGTGGTGGCGTCCGGAGCCGGGGGTGGTTCTGCAGGCCGCCTGGGTGATCTAGGGCACAAACACGCACAGTCAGTGGAGCAGTACCCTGCGTCCTGGCCTGTGGCTGAGAGGCAGCCACGGAGGGCTGAGCAAGACCACAGGGGAGGGAAGGAGATGTGCATCAGCCACTGGCAAATTATACAAATCAACACATTCAGTCAATATTTAGTCATCAGATAATTACTGAGTGCCTACCATTGTAGCTGCATAGGAATGGGGGTGGTAAACAAAATAAAAATTCCCACCTCTACCCACTGATCTTAAAATCTAGTAGGGGAGATAATTTACAAGTTTTTTTTTTTTTTTTTAAAGACTAACTGCCCATGTCAGCAATGTTATCCTCTTTCTATCATAATTTAAGGGCTTTGGTTTTGAAAGCATGATCAGAGAATGTGTTTTAGAAGAAAGTACTGGGGTCCTGCCCTACATTTACTGAATCAAGAACCCTGAGGTGAGGCCAAATAAGCTGATTTCACAAGGCCTCCAGGTGAGATCCTCTGATGCATGCTACAGTTGGAGAACTACTGATCATATATAATGGTACACAGTAAATGAAACAAACAAGGTAAATAAGAAAATACATGTACTTAGATGAGATGCTGATAACTCTAATAACATAAACATCCAGGAAGGAGATTGTGGCCTGTATACACAGGGAAAGTATGAAATTGTAGACCAAGTGACCTCAGGGAGAAGATGACTTTTGAGTAACAGGAGCATGCTTGCATCTGGATGATTAAAAATCACCACCAGCATTTATTGAGCACATAGTATTTATTCTGAGCCATTGACATATAGTAATTCAAGTAATCCTAGCAAATCACTACAGAGTTGGTACTACTTTTCACATTTTACAGATGAGGAGATTGAGATAAATATTTTATTTACTCCTTCCAATACCCAGAGCAACAAGTATGATTATCAACAGTAATTTATAGATGAAAAATTTAAGACTTGGACCAAGGAAGTAAAGTCTCTTTGGGCATGTGGCTAAGTAGATATTATTTATAATGAAATGAAGGAAATAAAATTTATGGTGACACCATAAAAATGGCAAGTCCTGGAGGTAAATAAATCTTTACCATCCATGTAAGCCATCCTCACAGTGAGCCTAGTCTTATGAAGCAAATACATTATGGGGGTGAAGAAGTCTGGAAATCAGTCTAGATTTAGCCACATAACCATAACCATGGTCAGGTCTCTTAATCTCTTTAAGCCTCAGTTTTTCTCATCTGTAAAATGGGGAAGGAGGAGCAGAGCCACCCCCAGCACAGAGGAGGTGAACTCTCCAGGCCACCATACCACTGCCCCCAGTGCCAAGGACCAGAGCGGCCCCCACTGCAGAGGAGGTGAACCTTCCAGGCCAACTTACCACCATCTGCAGTGCTGAGGAGGTGAGCCATGTGGGTGCCAGGAGCACTCATCCCTCCCCAGCCCACAATGAAATGAGAAGTCACAGAAACAAGCCACAGAACCAGACTGCCAGATCACCTACAGCAACCCCAAAGGGAAACAAGATAGAACAATCTGATACTCAACAACCTGGACTCCCTGAACTGGCAACAAAAGAGGATCTGGAAAAAATGAAATCAGAAATAATTTCTCAGATAACAAGAGA